ACCAGGGTGCCCACAGACCCTCATGGGGAGAGTGGCTGGAGGTGGTGGTTGACTCAGGGACACCTTCTGGGGAGTTTGCCCATTCTTTTTTTGCCCAGGAGAATGCTAAGAGAATGGCCTCAGAGGATTCCCCCAAAGACCACTTTGGGGGATTCATAGGACAGCTCCATTGTTAGCTTTCTGCCAGGACAGGCCTTGGGCTCTGGAACAGAGGCTTCCGATCTCTGGGGGTGTGACCCTCCAGAAGAGGATGAGCCTCTATGTGCCGTTTCTGGGGTCACCTATCATTAGATTCTCAAAGGCGTTATGACCACTCCCCACAAAAAGCCTAGAATCACAGCTCTGGAATCGGACCATATAGATGCAGGAAGGGGCTGGATACTTACTTCTCTTTCCTTGCTGCTGGTGGTTTCCAGAAAGTCGGCCTTGTTCCTGAAGAGCCACCCCCAGCCTCTGCAGCTGCAGCTCCCGGTGCTTTTTCAGCAAGCCTTCCTTGCCCAGACTCCCAGGAGGTGCCTGGGTCCTCAAGTTGAGGGCCAAAGGGTTGTTGGAGGTGACAGTGAGAACAGAGGAGACCAGAGGACCCCCCCCACCAGATTAGTGCCCCCCACCTATAGAGAGAGTTTTAGGAAGAAGAAGGTTTCCTTAGAAATGCGCTGTCCACGACGGTAGACATGCAGCTATGTAGATTGCAACGAATTTAAATGAAATACAGTTAGGAATTTCCGTCCTGAGTCGCACCAGCACATTTCAGGTGCTCAGCAGTCACAGGTGGCTGGTGGCTACTGTATCAGACAGTGCAGATACAGAGCACATCTGTCATCGCAGAATGTTCTAGTGGATGGTGTAGCCTGTGTGTTGGATGAGGTCCCAGCACTGAGGTTGGGGACAAGAGAATGACTGAGGGGACAGTAGCTCTCTTCTCAGGCCTGGGGCTCCCCCAGCACCTGGTGCCCGTCTCCCCCCCAGCACGTCGTCCTCCTGGTGCCTCACGCCCTGCCTTGCTCGCTGTGCCATGTCCACAGATGCCCTCCCCACCAAGGGCAGCTGCACGTTGCTCTCTGGCAGCTCTAGCCCTCCCCCCACCCCCAGGCAGTGGCTCAGTGGGGAACCTGGATGCATGGGGGCAAGGGATGGGCTCCTCCCTGGGTTCAGAGGATGGGGTGAGGGTGCATACCCACCTCCTTTTAGTTGCCCCTGAAATAATCTCCAGCATCTTACAGCATGTTTTCCTCTTCCGAGTGCTTTCCCCGGC